TCTTCTTCTTCTTCTTCTTCTTCTTCTTCTTCTTCTTCTTCTTCTTCCTCTTCTTCTTCTTCTTCCTTCTCTTTTTCCTAATTAGATGAGATTCCAGAAAAGTAGTAGAAGTGTCAAGTTAGAAACTAACTGCCTCTAACTTGTCTGTACATAGGTTTTCTGCCTCCAAGTGCTTCTTGTTACACTTTGTCAGTTCACACTGACCAGAGAGCAAATTCCAGCCATTTGATAGGGCAGTCAGTCACAGGAAACTCTAAGGTGTTCCCTCCACTGTGGGCCTCTTTTGTCACACAAAGGTCAATCAGTACATTCTGGAATCTGAAATCATGTTCAGTTTAATAGGAAGAAATCCAGGAATAATTAAGACAATAAGAGTGTCCACCCATTCAAGACAGCGAGTTGTGTGCATCTTTGGGGAGGGAAAAGAAATCATGAGATGAAAAGAAAACAGCCATCAATGACTTCCCAAGCTCCTCCTTGGCAGAGAAGAAAAATGTTCTAACTCATTTGTTTCTCTGGTGAGATCACTGGTGGAAGGAAAAAGTGCAGATTCAAAAATTCCCCTCAAGTTCTAAGGTTTTCAAGGAACTGTTTATTTAAAGCATTCATAACTGAGTTTATAAAAGACACTATTGTTTTCGCTTAATCGGATAGTTATATAGTTACTGTCCCTTTTAGCCTTTGCTTGAACTTTGGGGGTGGGGGTCTTTACCAATAACACAGGAGACACTTCCTTGTTTCCTTTCTGTTAAATCTGTAACTGTATCCTGGTTTTAGCTCTCTGAAGACTTCTGAAAATTTACAACCTAAGGAAAGTCCTGTTTATCTAACTCAAGGCCTTCACACACACACACACAGTCACACACACATCATAAAAAAGCATTCCTATTTAAAATTAAAACTCTCAATGTCTAGAAATTTTCTTTGTAACAAAAAAAATTCAATTCAACTTGATTCCCTAATATCTATTTCCAAAGACCTACTCAATGATTGTTTCCAAAAGATTTTTTTCTCCTAAAATTATTCCAAATGCATTGTTGAGCCTATCTCAAGGTGAATATCTCGAGTCTAAGACTGATTTATTTTTCTCAACTGCACCCAAGACCCTTCAAGCTGCTGCTACTTCTCCTCCCTCGATAGCTACAATTATTTATCAAGGTAATTTCTGACTGTTAGTTGGGAAAAAAATTGAAAGAAAAAATAGCATGTTATTTTCCAGAAAATAACTGCTTTAAAACAGTATTTTAAAAGTAAGGGGGTGGGGTGGAGTACATGGTGTACATTTTCTTTCTGTTTCCTACTTGGCCCAGAATAAATCCCTGACTCCCTCCATTGGAAGCTCCTTGGCTGTCTCCCCCTTTTAATCCCAAGATGACCTGGCAGGCCACTTTTTAGGGTGATTTTTATCTCAGTAAGTCAGGAAGGGCCTAATACATGAGAAGCCATTTCCAGAGCAGGGCTTGCTACCGGTATCTTAAGAAAAATCCTTGAGACACCATCTTTGAAAAACTATTTGAAGATTGTTCCCTTGAGTAAATACTCAGGCCTGCCCTCCCCTGCTTTCTTGGGCCTGTCCCCACATTACTCAGCCTCCAAGAATTCATCAATATTCAACTGGCTCTCTTAGTATGCTGATGGAGCAAAAGGAGTCTAATAAGGAAAGCTGTTACCATTTTTCCTCAGAGGGCCTGTCACACATTCGTCTTTCATCTTACAGTGCTGGAGTCTTCTGGTATTTATGTAGGAAAAACGAATGTTTCTGTGCAGCAATCCAAACAAACTGACCCACCAGGCCGAACCTTAAAGACCCAAAGATAAGGCTCTCAACCCAAAGGCAAGGGAGCTTTATGAGTGATCAGTCTGAGGCTTTAGACTGGTGCTCAGTCGTGCCTGACAAGCTGGCGAACTTCAGTCCTGTCCATGGAGAGTTGTGAATTAACAGAAAATTTGGAGTTCCTAAAAATAGTTTTCAGTGCCCACCGAAACTATCCACATTATCCGCAGTGTTACACGCAGACACACACACACACACACAGAGAGAGAGAGAGAGAGAGAGAGAGAGAGAGAGAACACTTTCCAGAAAAGAAAATCTCGTTCTGTAAAATACTTGTGGCTACTTCCCCACCTACCCACCCACTCCCAGTTTTGCAGACCCTGGAAAACTCTACCTTCCTGTCATCCCGCTGCCCCCCCCCCCCCCAGGGTGAAAAAAAAATGAAAATAAGCCCAAGTTATCAACCACGAGATTCTAGCCTTGAGACTTTGCGATCTTTCTCTCAAAACTCAAAGTTATAATTAGATCGGCCTCGCAGAAGTATCACAGTAAAATACGAAACCCAGTGAGAGTTGAGCAGCTCAAGAAACTGCAGGGCTGAGCACCTTGGAAGTCGGAGTCCGCGATTTTAGTATATGAGTGCGGTTTTCGCGCGTGTGCGTGCGTTTACGGGTTTAAAGATTGCCTCTGTGTCTGTCTGTCTCTCTGGGTCTCTCTCTCCCTGTCTCTCTCTGTCTCTCCCTGGTGGGTTTTGCTGTACTTGTTCCAGTTCCTTTAAGCGGTTCCAAACTATCCTACCCTCCGCAATAAAGCTTAGGCTTGACTCTGGGAGCATGGAGGACCCCGGAGCCGCACCGCAGCTACCAGCGTGCCACTCAGCTGCTGGCGATTCGCGGATGTCCAGATGAACTTGCTAGTCAAGGAGCCACCGAAGTTACTAAGTCTCAGACCAGACAAGAGGTAGCTGGAGTGGAGGTTTAGCCAAGAGCTGCCAGGGCAATAAACCTCTCCCTCTGAGCCCCCAGGCGAATGTGCCACGTAGATCCTATGTAGCGCCTGTGCCCAGCACTCTACCTGCCCCCTGTGTCCCCTTCTGGTCTTCTTTTGGTGCCCAGGTATGTGGTTGTTGCTGACCAGCAATACCCATTGCCCTGCCCGTCCAACCCTAGCTGAGTTTACATCCCGCTTGCTCAAAGATTTGTCCAACCCGGGAAAGGGGGAAAGAAGGAAGCCGAGATTATCTTTAGCATCCGGGCGCTATTTTGTAAGGGATATTTCTCTCACATTTTCTTTTTTTGAGAGAGTCTCTCACGGAACTCAGACTGTCCTCTAACTTGCTATGTAGCGAAGGACGCCCTTAAAGTTTTGTTCCTCCTGCTTCCTCCAAGTGCTGGGGTCTCAGGCACGCGCCACCACGTCTGGTTTTTCCAGATTTGTGTTCTTGTGACAGTTTGCAAATACACAGGGAAGTTGCGAATATAGTACAATGGAAGGCTCCCTCTAGATGCAACAACATCTGGGAGCTAGGTGATACCCATCCCTGCCCCCCCCCCCGTGTGTAAGTCAGTGGCATCATTTGAAAACCGCGGTCACCCTTACACTTCATCTCTTTACGCTTAGGCACAGATCTTGTAAGAATGTGGATAGTCTGTTATTAACTTCCACACCATCTCACACCTCCCTAGTAAACAGCGTCGTAGCTAAGGATATCTAGCATACAGAAGAAAGACTCCCTTTCTTTCCCCACTCCAGACTCAAAACTTAAAGTCATAAAGACTTTCCTTACATAGAAACTGTTGATCCCAGCCTCGGTGTCATTCCCACCCCCAAAGTGGACCGCCAGGACCTAAGGGAGTCCTCCACCTGAGGGAGAGTTTGGCAGAGTTTTCCAGAGCGCAGGAGGCCCAGCAGAGCCAGGACACAAATGAGCGCTGAACACTCCCTCCTGCAGTCTGAGGGTCCCTTGTTTCCTCATCCTGTTTCAGACACCCCCAAGAAAAACAGTCCCAAGCAGCTTTGCTTAGCCGCCCTGTACCCTACTCTCAGCCCAGAGGACCGGGCCAGAAGACTAGTGACGTTTGTGGCATAGGTCTTTGAGCTGGAACCCAGCTACCTAGTGCTCTTCGTTCTGCTTCCCCCACCTCCCTCCCCTTTCCCCTTTCTCCCTGTTGTTTTTTTTTTTTTTTTTTTTTTTTTTTTTTTTTTTTGTCTCCCAGCACCCTAGGCAATGAGGCTCTGTACGTGGCCACTACAGGCTCTCGGTGTCCTTCCCGGCCTTTCCTGGCTTCAGGCCAAGGCTGTGGCGCTGAGAGCCCGCACGGCCTCCCCCTCCCCACTCCCTTCCGCCCCCGGGCCTCCGAGCTGGGCTGGCGGCTGGCTGGGCGGGGCGCGGAGCAGCGCCCGGCCACACCCCCCGGGCCGGCTTTTTCTAGGGCTGCTGCGGGCCACTGGGCGCTGGCTGCTCCCGCTCGCCTCTCGCCCTGCGCTCAGCTCCAGCCCTGCTCCGGCTCTGCTCCGCCACGCCTTCGAGCTCCCGCACCGCGACCTCAGGCTCTTGGCTTTCGGCCCCTCCGTCGCCCGAAGTCCCGCACCACCGCAACCTCGCGCCCTCCGAAGTCCAGGTGACTGCTCTTCAAACTTTCACAGCCCTGCCACAGCCTTCCTCCCCTTCTCGCCTTCCGTCTGACAGTCGATCTGTCTGTCCTCCTCCCCACCCGCCTTTTCCTTCCTCCGTCCCGCTTCTCGGACTTGTTTGCTAGGTCGACGCAGCGGAGCGGCTTCGCAGGAAAATCCCAGAAACCTTTGCAAAAAGCTTACAATGAAATTTAAGAAGTTCTGCGATTTCGGCGCCATTTTCGAGTGGAGTGAGAGGTGAGTTGGGATCGAAAAGAGGGGGTGGGGTGGACTTTTTGGCTCTCCTTCCCCCCCCCCCAACTATGATGCTGGTCATTGCAGACTGTAAAAGACACGGGGATAATCCTGAAAACAAAAGTTCGGTGTCGCGCTGGGTGGGGGTTGGGGGCGGAAAGCGTGTTTGGGGGTCGGAGCGGGGAGAGGACAGACCTTTAAAATGTCTAGCAAGCGAGTGTGGCGCGGGGACTTCTGAGAAAACCGATGAGAAGAGTGAAGCGGGAGAAGTGGGGAGAGAGAAGGGAGTGAGGGGCAGTGGCGAGCTGTCAGCCGTGGCGGGGTAGGGAGGGTAGGTCTGTAAACGGACTTTGGGTGACTCTCATTTGTAAGCAGTAAAGAAGGTCCCAGAAAGACATGTAAGATTCGTTTTACATTGTCTCTCGCTAATTAACGCTTTTCAAGGTTGTCTTGTTTTTTCCCAGCATGAAACTGGACGTTGGAAAAGTTTGGCTTGAAGGTGCAGAGGACGTGTACATCAAGTGTTTTGGGTGTGGGGGAGCATGGCATCTGCAACATTAAAAGACCAGACGTTCTCCTGTGAAGAGAGGAAGGGACTCTTAAATCATTTGGCCAAATACATCGCAGTTCTGAAGGGGTGGAGCTATGGCAACTCCACAGTATTGATTCTTTGTCTAGTGTATCAGCGAATGACCCTCTCCAGAAGTGACCAGACCCCTCTTTGTGCCCTCCTTTCGTAAGTAAAGGTGAGCCCAAGGGGAAATACGTATACCAGGGCAGTGATACGGCTTTCTAGGGATAGAAGTCGTTGTAGTGTGACAAGAAGAAAAAAATGGATAAAGTAAAATACATAGATGAATTTGGTTCTGGCGTATTCCTTAACAAAATGATCTAGAAGGACCTTCATCTTTGACGCTAATGTTACTTCGAATTAACTTTTGTTTTTATAAGTAGTCAATTTAAGGAAATGTTAAATTAGGAGGCACTTTAATCTCTGAGGTGATGGCTCGCATATTTATGGGGGACTTAAAATTCAATTGGGAGAAAGTTATGTATCTTTAAAATATAATTGTACCTTTACTAAACATGTTTTTCTCTCTCTTTTAAGGGAGACCATCCGATGTTTTCTTTTCTCCATTATTCCGAGTCTATGTGAAACTGACTTGTTATATAGCCAAAACAAGATGGAATTTAGAGGCTCATTCTAACTTAAGGAGGGGGGATATCATTATTAATGGCTTTATCATGATCTTTATCATTTGTTAGCACTTGATCACAATCTGTTAGGATTTTTGTGCTTAGTTTAATTACATACTCTGTATAATTAATTAACCAGTAGGACCCAGCATTCATTGTACTAGTTTTGAAAAAATTACTTAGTTTTAAATGAATACAGGAAATGTAGTGACATCGAATCTCTGTTTAAATGCACAGAATGTATTTTTACTTTCAAAGGCACAACAGTTTTATTGTTTTAATTATTAGGTTTGTGGTTAAGGACTGAAGGATATTTTTTGTGCTTTCTTCAATGCTTTGTTTAAACAAAATGAAATGAATGAATGTGACTTACTGCTCACGGGTGTCCATTTTGAAAAGCAACAGTGGGAGCTAATGAGTTAATCGTTAAGGAGTGTGTAGTGTCCGCCATTTCAAGACATGAGTTTCTGTGGAGTTGCTTGAGAAGGAGTGATTTGACATGAAGTGTTTAAAGGTCTTGATTTGTCATGATGTTGATAAATGTAAATTAGAGTTGCCCAGCATTGCATGAGAACATCCAGGGATTCCATCTATAGAACAATTTTCATGCTTTGTCCTCAAAAGTAACTAATGGCAAGATAGTTGATGTACTAATGGAGAGACCTACATGAGGTAAAGAAGATGTCTGCTGCCTGCACAAACGAGGCTATATGCCATGCCTATAATACTCAGTACAACCAACTGGATCTACTCAGAGCGTTTTTGGATTATCAAAAGTTCCTTGCATCGATTTCAAATAAATGATGAAAAGCTGGGGACTTATACAAGGCAGCAGGAAGTTTCAGCAAGACTTTGGAGCTGGCAAGAGTGATTCAGATGGTACTAAATTGTCTCAGTTTATTTAATCTCACTTTTCACCTACTTTCTGAGGTAAGAGTCTTCCCCCAGCCCCACTATCTTCCATAGCTCTGATTTTCACAAATACATAGTGGGTGTGTGGGTGTGTGTTTGTGTGTGTGAAAACCACACCCTTTGCCCCACCAGCAGATCCTGGAAAATCAAGCAAAGTTCTAAGACTTAGTACTAACTTATAAAAAGCCCATCAACTTGGAGTGATGTGTCCTGAGAAGGAAGCATTGTACTTAATTCTCACCAGGGGGCAGAGCAAGGAGGGGCACCCTTCTACTCACAGAGACTTTCTTCATTCACAGGTACCTCCAGAGCAGCCCCCACCCTCATTGACTCCGAAGGGATGCAGCAGCAATTTATGTTTTGGAGTATTGCAAAGGTTCAAAACATGAAGCGCTGCCACACTCCTTCGCGGGGAAGGTAGAAGGTGGGAGCCTGCAGAACAGACCTGTGTGGGTTCTCCTAAAACCCCCAAAGCAAGTAGATAGGACAGAAGAAGCTTGTTTGTTTCTTCAGTCCATCCTGGCAGGGCCTTAGTCTAGCGATGGCCACTTTATACTTTTCAAGGGCCTGGGGCCGGGTGGGAGTTAGGGCTGTGGGGAGGAGGGGTGACTGCCAAGCAAGCTGGCCATTCACTTGCAGGAAGGACAAGGTACACTGCCCTCAGCCCACCACACTCAGTCGTGCCCTAGCAGCGGGGAACAGTACTTCAGTGAGTGTTTGGTGCCCTGGAGTATTGTTTCCGCTGCCTGGGTAAGTCTGGGACTTCCACATGGGCACACTGACCAGGTAAGTTTCTGTCCATTTCCTGCAGCATAGGCCATGGGAGTGAAACTCTAAAACAGCTCCAAACTAGAGCTTTTGTGTTTTCTTTTGTGAAACATTGGCTGATCTGTGAATATGTGACTGGGTGTGACAGAAACCTTGTTGTTAGCACCTCATTCACTGCCCAGGTAAACTGAACCAACTGGGGGAAAAAAAAACACACTTCCTGATCACCTAGAAGAATAACACCCACAGGACAGCAATGAAGAGAGTTTGTCTTCAGTCATCAACAACAAAAAGGGGGAGTTCCTGAAAAGGAATAAGAAGGGTTCAGAAGGTGGGCAGGAGGGGTGACTGGAAGCAATCCCCATTTCTGCAGTTTCTACTGAAACAGCTTAGGTGTTGTGTATAAAAGACTTTAAAGGTCAGGAAAGATTATGGGGTCCCACAGTGGGATCCTGGGGTCCCTGGATCTCAGACATACAAAAGAAGGGCTTGGTTAGGCACATGGCTTTGCTGGTGGCGAACCCCATCAGTGAGAAGCAGTGATCTAACAGGAAGCCTCAGAGTGAGATTCTTCGTTTCTAGACCTCCTTTATCCCCCTTTCTCAAAGTCACCACACAATTCTACCCTGGCAGTAGGTACTCAAGGACACCCTTGTCACTGTCTAGAAGCTTAGTGTTGACAACCCCTGAGAAAATGGTAGGAAGCTATAGATTTAGGATCCCTTTGTGACACCCCAAACTGTGCTGTGACTGATGATCATGGCACCTCGGTAGTCTTATGCCACCTCCATTCCCTTGAGGAGCCCTTTGAGCCTGCAGTGAGGAAAACGGGTCAAGAGTCGACTGGGAACTGGAGTGTTAATTGTCTGAACAAGGCTTTACTGTGAAAATCACTTTATATGATCTGGAGTATGGGCATGTAAAGCACTATTGGAAAATGGCGAAATCTTCCTGCTTTGTCATATTAAAAAAATAAATACACATACACACACCCTTCTGGTCTGTATGAGCTGCCTTGAAGTGATCATCCCCAGAGACTGGGCACAGACCTCCCCCTCCCATAGAAATTACAGTTAGAGGAGGACTTATGAGCCTGGGAGTCTAGCTCTAGCCACCAAATGCCTTTCTCACAGAGTCCCTTGCGTTTGAACAATGTGGGGGAGGTGGTTTGGACTCCTTTGGGCCCCCAAGGACCCCCGCACTCCCAGGAACACCAAGACCTCTTGGGACTTCAGGCAAGCCTGGTCCCCATCTCCCCCTCCACTGCTTGAAGCCTCCCCCGCCCCGTCCCCTCGCCCCCCCCCCCCCAGCTCCTGCCGCACCTGCCCCTTGGCTGGGCCCCTCTGGCCCAGAATCCCCTGGGCTAGCAGGTTCAGGCATCTGCGGTGCAATGTACAGTGTTGGAGGAGGGGCACTTGGACTCTCCCTCACCGGCTTCCCTTCTCCCTTTAGGCTATTCAACAGAGATTTCCCTTAAGACAGAAGAACACTGAGGTGCACTGAAGGCGCCCACCTATCCATAAGAATCTGGCCCCTGCCATCTGTTCTCTTTCCAGTGGGTACCTCCAGGGCTCAGGTGATATTCAGGTGGGTTGGGGACTTGAGAGCAGAGGAGCAAATGATCCAGATGGAGGACCTTTGCCTTCTAGAATCCAAGATGCCCTTAGCCCAAGGTGCCCAAGGGCATCAAAACCGAGCTCATCCACACAGCACCTGGCTGCATGGTGCCCTTTCCTGATTTCAAATGCCCCTTTGCACCTTGATTTGCCCAGTTGAAGTTATGGTGTGCCTAGATTGTCTTCCAAGGGCAAAAATGTGAATAAAAAAAAATATTTTAGCCAAACACGTCTATGTCAATTAAGAAGATGGCAATTCGTTCCAGACTATAAATTCTCTTTAACAACTCCCTAAGGTATTCTTTTAAATAGTGTTTTCAAACACTGCTAAATGTGCATTATAATGTGTGGGAGACTTGTATAAAGTGATTCAATTTACAGTCAGCTGATTAATTGATCTTCCATTACCACACTCAAAGAGGCACCTCTCCATTGTTTTCTCGGGTTTTTTTTCCCTGACATATGTTACTTGTTAGTGAGGAAGCTGTGTGCACGTGGCATTGTATAAAGTTTATTAGACAGACATGGCTCTGAAAACTATGAAAAGCTTAGCCTGACTCTAAATCTAAACTCCAAATTTTCTATAAGTTGTAGGACATGATATTCAGGTTATTATGATATACTAGATTGAAACATGATTTTGTAACAATTTTAATAACAGGAACACTTTTGAAGACATCTTCAGTTAGCAGTACTGGTTTTGTTTTGTTTTCTTTTTTTCCAAGTAGGGAACACTACATCAACAATCTTGGGGATGTGGACACAGAAGACTCCTGTTTCAAGAAAATACAATCATCTTTCAAAAGTTTTAATTTATATGCATTTTACCACACTAGAGATTGAAAACCACCAACTGGGGGGGGGGTTTACAATATAATCAATAGTGTATAATATCATATGTCTTCTTAAAATGTTACTGGAAAGTGTTTTATGATCTGTAAATCAAAGAATCTGGTCCCCCTATCTCATTCTTCCCACTGTTCCCCCAAATCCAGGCTCCTTTGTTCCAGTTGGCATGTAAACTTGTTTTTCCCACCAAATGAGTCAGTCATGATAGGATCCTCAATTGATTTGAACAGATGTGTGTCAATGTTTACTTGGAAAAACTAAATGCCAATAACCAGGGCCACAGAAAAAGTCAGTGATTGTAACTTTGTAAAGCATTTATGCATGCACACAGACAAGGACAAAAGTAGAATCCTAAACAGGAAACATTTGGATATATTCCAATGCTGGGAGACTAAATAATTGTATGTTGCTTTTGATTTCCATTAACACGGGCAACTGTCCAATTAAACAGAAACCCAATAAGGACTCTGCAGTGCACATTATTTTGCTGATTATTCTAAAGCACCATACCTGTCAAACCACTGAGGAGGAGGGAATAGCAAGGGACTGGGTGTGTTCTGCAAATCCTGGAGAAAACATGATTGTGTGAGACAGACGTAAATTGACAGGCAGCTTTTCTGAGAGAGTTCAGGATGAAAAATACAAATAAGTTCAAAGAGTATGCCTGAGAAAGATAAATATATTTTGATAAAGACTGAAAGACTAGAGCTGGGGGCTATACCAAGTTGACATTAATTTCTAGAGATCTATTTTCCCATTGTCCAGAAGCATCTCTCGGGATTCCAGAAGTCTATGTTTTCAACTTTATTCAGAGTT